GGACCATTTCGGCTCTTCTTGCTCTGAGATCTCTTGAATTCTGACCATGATGCAAAGAGCTGCTTCTCATGCTCATGATCGTGTTTCCCGCCTCGAAATCGACTTAGGTGCTCCAGAACGCACACAGCTCCTTCAGAGGGGAGGGGAGTCAGGAGGAGGAGGAGGAGGAGGAGGAGGAGGAGGAGGAGAGTCCACTGACTGATGCTATTTGGCAGGTGATACAGTGAATATTGCCTCGAGAATGGAGTCAAACTCTCTTCCGCAGAAGATCTTGTGCAGTGAGGTAGGAAAAGATGAGAACGTGATGACGATAGAGACGATGATAATATTGATGATGATGGTGATGACGATGATCAGGATGATGATCAGGATGAGGATGAGGATGAGGATGAGGATGGTTATAGATATGATGATGAATGAGATGGAGATGATGATGAAAGAAATAGAGTTGCAGATGCAGAAGATGATAACGTACACACAGTGCTCATTCTTCTACAAAAAACACAATGATCCTTTCCTCTTACTTGGGCCTTCCTCCTCGTCCTCCTCCTGTACTTGTTCTTCCTGACAAGCCTGCGCAGAAAACCGCCCATCTCATCCAGGAGCAGAAGCAGTCGTTCGAGCAGCGAGTGTGTGTGCTGGAACGAGGGATCATTCGAGTGAAGGGCAAGGGACCGATGGAGACGTATTGGATCTGCTCAGAGGAGGAGATGCTGGCATCCAAAGTTGTTGTGCAAGAGGAAGACAAGTCAATAGCTGATTTTGTAATTTGAGGTTTGTTGAAGAGCAATGTAGACAAAAACGATCTTATGTCCTCCTCGCGCTGCTGCTGCTGCTGCTGCTGCTGCTGCTGCTGCTTCCCATCCCCCTCCTCAACCCACGTACCTAGCCCGACGGGCTCTTGTTGATCTGGCCCTCCGCTAGCAACTGCTTCTTCTTCTTCTTCTTCTCTTTGTACGCCCTCCACTTCTCGCTCACGTTCTTAAACTTCTTCCTCCTCGGATTCCTCCTTGTCTCAAACGTGATCTCCTGCTTCTGCTTCTCCACCCCGAGCCCCTTCCTTATCAGCTCGTTCACCTCCTGGAGACTTGGGACCGCCTCGTACCCGCCATCCTCGAAGTTGCTCAGCAGCATCGTCATCGTACCGTTGAGCCTTTCCTTCTGCTCCGGAGGGATCTCAAACAAGGCCATGAGCTCTGGCTGCTCCTCGAACCCCCTGCTGTTCTTCGGGTCTACATCGATGGACCGCAGCACTTCCATGAGAAACGTGACTGCGATAGGAGGCCCCACGTCCATGGCAGCGTCCAGGGCATACGTCAATGCATCCCATCCCCCGTTGTCTTTGTGCGTTATGTTGGCGCCATGCAGCACAAGCATTGCCAGGCATCGTAGATCTTCATGCCCCGCCATAGCGCACGAGTGCAGGGGGATCTGACCCGCCAGGTTCATGTCGTTGATGTCGGCTCCTGCCTTGATCAGCCGCTCTATGGCGTCCGCGTCCCCGATCTCCACCGCCTTCCACAGCAGCTCCTCCTTGCTGAACCTGGTCCCGTTCCAGTCCGTGTGGAAGGCGCAATGCACGGGAGTGCCATCGAACGTCGTCGCCTCCAGCCACTCCTGCGTCAGCCGGAGAGGAGGATCGATCCGCTCCACTATCAGCCCTCCTCTCAGTCGGAGGAGCGCAGCGGCCCCTGCCCCGCAGACGCGCCCCCCGGACATGCAGGAACGAGGCTGAGGATGAGAGCAAGCAGCGCGGCAGAGCGCCGCACCATGCTGAGAGATGAGGAGGACAAGGAGGGGGACGGGGACGGGGAGGGCAGGGAGAGAGGTGAGGTGAGGGAGGGAAGGGAAGCGGGAAGGGGGCGGGAGGGGGGGAGCGAACTGTCGGCAGGGAGACCAGGGGGACAAGGAAGGGGCGGATTTTCAAAGGGGGGCAGGAAATGGGAGAGGAAATGGGAGAGGAAGGATTTCAATGGAGGCGATGCGATGCGGGGACGGGAGGGACGGGAGGGACGGGAGGGACGGGAGGGACGGGAGGAGTGCTGAATGAGGGGAGGGGAGGGGAGGGGAGGGGAGGGAGGGGAGGAGGGGAAGGGAGGGAGAGGGGAAGGGAGGGAGGAGGGGAGGGAGGGAGAGGGAAGGGAGGGAGGAGGGGAGGGAGGGAGGAGGGAGGCCGGAAACAAACGGGTCGAATCCAACGGGTGGAGGAAGTGCGGTATTGGGAGCTAGAAGCAGAGGAAGGGAGGGTAGGAAAGAGGAGGAGAGAGTGAAAGGAGGAGGGCGAGAAAGGGTAGCCCACAAAAATAGGGAGAGATGCTTTGTTTACTGAAAATGGAAAAAATCCCTTTGAAAATTCTGTTGTACAATCTCGAATCTCGAAGAGAACCGATTAACTAAGGAAAACAATCAACAACCTCACGGGCAGGAGATTCTCCTGTCGAAGTCTCTGTCCTCAGAGTCCTCCTCCTTCTTCAGGAACTTGAACGATTCGTTGGGAAAGACAAGGGCCTTGAACTCCTCGAAGTCGATCAGACCGTCTTGGTTCCGATCGCCCGCAGTGATGATGTCCGAGACCTCCTCATCTGTGACCTCGCAGCCGAAGCGAGCAAGAGCTTCTTTGAGAGACTGTAGAGCAGCAAGTCAGCCTGATGAGATAGCAACGTCATGCATGCACGGTCACCTTGCTCGACAGTCCTCCTTCATTCAGCACGTCCATCGCCTGAAATGCCTCGTAGATCTCCTCCTCCGCCTCCCAGAGGCTTTCCATCTCCTCACAAGTACAAGAGCACGGCTGATTGCTGGAGTTGCTGTCAAGATCGGGGGGAGGGCCAGGGTCCGAGATCGTTCGCGGTCTAGTGTGGCACATCATGATGCAGTATTCGTCAAAGCACAGGTCTCCAGTGTGGAACACGTCGAAGTTTCGGATCATCTCCCGCAGAGTGTTGTCATCCTTCTTCTCTCCCATGCTCCTCAACGTCGCTGACAGGTTCTTGAATGAGATCCTGCCCTTGCTTTCTCTGTCGAGGAGGTCGAACGATGCCTTCAGCTCGGCCTTTCTCACGGGATCGCCTTGCACCTCAGCCAGACGCAGCAAGCATTCATCTTCTGTTGGGAGCGCACAGTTACTAGCCATGCGTCTCAATGCAGCACACGTGTGAACAGCCGCCATGAGCTTGCGAGTCGCGTTCCAGTCCTTGAGACGAGACTGCGTCTGGGGCATGGCATCGTTGGACAGAGTTCCTGCATGGAACTTCCTGACCCACGGGTGCTGAAGGCACTGCTTGCAAGTGAATCGCTTGTGGGTATCAATATCCAGCATGTGCGTGATAAGGTCCTTGGCCTCCGAGGAGATGCTTGCCCATTGCGGCGCGTCAAAGGAGTAACGTCCAGCCTTGATGCTCTTGAACTTGTCGTGAACAGCCAGCTGATCGAACGGAGGCATCCCTGACAGGCAGATGAAGAGGATGACTCCAGCGCTCCACACGTCGCACTCCATGCCATACCCATCGTGCTGGAGGACCTCAGGAGCGACGTAGTTTGGGGAGCCGCATCGTGACCACAACCTGATCCTCTCTGCCTGGATGTCGGAGAGATTCACGATCCTTCCCAGACCGAAGTCGCAGATCTTGATCGACGAGTTGTCTTCCTTGGAGGAGTAAAGGATGTTCTCCGGCTTCAGATCTCGATGCACAACCCCCTTCTGATGCAGGTAATCTATGGCCTCGATCATCTGCACAAAGACATTTGCGGCCTCCGTCTCAGAGTAATGGTCCTTCTGAATGATGCGATCGAGCAACTGGCCACCACTCACCAGTTCCATCGCGATGTAAATATGATTCTTGGACTCGTAGAAGTCATACATCCGCACACAGTTGGGATGGTCGATCGTCTTCATAATCTCAGCTTCTCGCCTGAAGTTTCGAAGCTCCTTGGTGTCTCGATCTCTCTTGCTCATGATCTTCATTGCAACAACCTGTCCTGTCCTTTTGTTAATTGCCCTTTTGACAATCCCAAACTTTCCTTTGCCAATCTCGTCGTCATCTATGTTGTAATCTTTTTTGACACCGCTTTGCAACATTGAAATCAATGACGTCATGGCAGACTTGATCCACCATGATTTTGAGTTCGCCGAAGAGTTTTCGGCGTCTATTTTGTTGTAGTCTGACTGTTTGGCAACTATCTGTGCGTCCATTGGCATACGCTTTCAACTAAGCAATGCGAATCAGACGGACGGCTTTCACCAATGATCAGTAGACGCCTTTCGCCGAATCGCACGAGAAGAAGAAACAAGTTCAAAGTTGGAGCTCAATGGGACAACTATCAACTCCTTGTATCAGAATTCATGAAAGCTTGACTGGCGCTTATCACTCCTTTGCCTCTCTTCTGATCGCCCTAGCTGTTCTTCCTGCTACGTCCTCTTCTGACTGAGTTTGGAATCACGCCCTTTTGCGTCATCTTTATTACCCATGGTACAGAGTGTTGTATCTGTTCATTATTACTAGTATTGTAATATGATTAAATAATTTTATTATGACTATGTGTACTGCGATATAGTACCAGGATGTGTAAATTGATTATTAGCTCCGCTCGCCATCAGCATGTCTGTGAAGCAGTACGGCTTACTATGTTTTAAAAGACTTTATAAAAGGTTTTATTAAGATAATCGTAGGAAGGGTCCTATCTCTGCTACCTCCCTGAGTTTTACGTAATAGCTTTACCCCCTACCCTTTCATGTGCTCACTTGGCGTTGCCAGGTGTGTCATATCTTACCTATGCCTATTTTACTTAAGAATACATTCTATTGTTTGACGACCCTTTGCCATATTTCTCAAATTTAGCTCACATGAAACTGTGTTACCCCTCCTTTGTACCACCCACCTGCCTTCTTAGAGGACGGCCCCCGGGGTAGAGTAAGCATGATTTCCATGGTACATTGGCGTATTCCGTTGATCCTCATACCTATGGTTTTCTCAAGGTGTGTCCTATGAGTATTTACCTAGGCAGATTATTTGGAAAATATTACTATATCACAACCAAGATCTGTTACAAATATTATCATAATTTTAATCACGCCAACTGTTTCTATTGAGTGTTGCGCCTCCCCGGGGCTACTCCGATTTGTACGCCTTGAGGAATGCCGATTTCATGACGGACCAGAGTAAGTTCGGGTAGCATTTCAAAGATTAACAAATAGTTTGAAAAATATTTCAAATTTCAGATACGAAGGGAAGAAAAATTGATGTACCGGGCGTCAGCAAGGGGTTAAAACAAAGTTTAGCTGTCGTTGGGACTCTGCAGAGAGGGTGGGGGTCATGCGTTTAGTCTCTGGGGTACCCCCATGTCAGAATAAGTACCGTACCATGTCCAGGAAAACACTATGAAACACACCGGTAGTATATCATATAGACCGGTGCTAGAAAATGTTCCGGGCGGTGCATGACAGAGGGGATCGTGGAGGACGGTAGGGTGGTGTTACCAGAGGTGATGGTTATTTTACAAATATTTCAGTGAAATTTGAAATATTGAGCATCTCCATATCGAAATGTTCTCCAGAAAAGAGCCACAAGTCCATCCGGGAGTCCGCCCTCCGGGCCCGGGCCCGGACAACGGGAATAACTGAGGCGGACCTGGAAACACATAAAGAGGATGAGGGGGATGAGGGGCGACGGATATAGGAAAAATCGCTCCATGCAGACGGGAGGAGAGAGGGTGGAGAGAGGGAGGAGGAGGCAGGGGGGACGAGGAGGAGGCAGGGAGGACGAGGAGGAGGCAGATCAAAAACTTTGGTGTAAGTCTGAATGGAAAGGGGTGAAGTGAAGATGTCTTTGAAGCAGCCGGAAGAGCGGAAAGTTGTTGAGCAGGGTATGAGGTGTGTATGTGTGTGTGTCGGGGGGGGGGTGGGGGGTTGATACGTAAGAAGGACACAGTATCATCTTTTGGGATGTAAGATGAACATTGTACCATCTTGTCAGAGCGAGGCTCGAAGACTCTGCCCATTGCACTCCTGCAGTGCCGTCTTTTCCTTCTTTGACATCTTCCTTGCTGCAGGAGCGGCGGAGTC